GCGCCTTCTGGGGTGTGAGGCGTCTGTCCTCGCCTCCCACAGCGAGCCGAGATCTATTTCAGCTTCGCAGCGTGGCTCCGGTGCCGATTGAGCCCTCCAAGGAAGGCTGATAACTTCAGTTTATAACTTAAAATGGGGGGAGGGGGGGAAATTACATTTGGTCAGAATAAGGCTTAATGTGGGTCTTCAGAATATTTAATCTCATTTTTCCATTTCAGGTCCATGCAAGGCAGGATCACAGCRCAAGCATTCTCTTTTGACCAGCAGTTTAAGCCGTATCAAAAGGATGAGTTTCTTCTGGTAGTTCTAAGTCCTTTGTATTTTAAAGTGACTTTTTTTTTTCTTCCCATGACATTATAGCTCCTGCAAAACTACGTAATGCAAACAATGTAGCAGTGTTGAATGCTATTGGCCTGCTCACTGTCTCTTTTGAAAGGAGGTGATTTAGGTGTGGTACCCAAGTCTGACTTTGTGGGTTAACTGTATTGTCCAGTAAAAATATTTTAGTCTGTACTAACGTTACTCTRCTTTAAGAGGGAACAATTTAGTCTTTCAGGATTCCCAGGAATGGAAATCTGAACTGGATGCTGATCTTGGCCACAGCATTTCATGTTGGGAAGTCCATTTAGTGTGAGGCTTTAAACAGGGTACAAGCTCATGGCTATCACAGCTTTAGACATGAATGTGCACCACTTACCTGGAAATMCAATTTTTGAAATTTATTGGATACCATTGCTTTATGCTGGAATTTTGAACTCTCAGCTTTTTGAGATTCAAATCTCTTGCTGATTTTGTGTCCTCCATTTCTGTTGTCTGCAAAGTCAAATCTCTTCATCTCTGCAGGCAGAAAAAACCCCAAGCCTATGGTTTTACTAACAATGTKTTTTTTACATCTGTTATTTTAAAAAACAACACTTTTCATTTTTGTATGTGTATTTTATATTGTTAAACTGAATAAAGAATTCAGTTTTTATATTTTTAGAGAAATTCACACAGAAATGCACCAATATTTCATCTTCCACTGATAAACACTTCAAGTTATTGAAGTTTACAGAATAGACATTTACCTTCTCAATGTTTGTCTCTTTTGAATTAAAAATGTAAAGATATCATTATGAAGTGATGAAATCTGAATATCTGTGAAGTAACTGGGACAAAAATCACCATTACATTAATGTAATGTATGTGATATCCCAGAGGGTGGTAAAGAGATTTAGTGATGCAGAAACTGAAAGATCCATAATTTCATTTTCWTAGCAGCTTCTTCAATGATTATTCACTCTGCTTGTTTGCATATACATAAGTGTGGGGTTTCTTAGTTGGCTTACCAATCATGTAAACTTGCCAGCTATCAACATTATTATGCATGTCTCATTTTATTAATTGATAAATCAATAAGATTGAATACTTCAAATCTTACTGTGGAATATATTCTCCGTCCCTTCAATAGCTTACGKATTTCCTCGGTATCTTCAATATTTTTTGTGTGTCTGTACAATTCTCCAAGCTCCAAATTTATATTAAAAGTGTGAATTTTAAAATARTACTTAGCATTTCATTTTTAATTTCAACAACATGGTATTCCAAGAGAGAACTGTTTCATCTCTTACTCAATTTTCTGTACCTCCATGAATTTCATACATTTCGGTGTATTCTTGCACTCAAAGTGCTTTATTATAAAACTTTAATGCTGCATATGTAAATATATACCCGAAGATATCTTCAATGTATAAAGTAAATGTATAAAAAAYGTATGCAGTCAAGTGTATAGAAGACACTGAATTACAAGCCCATGGATTTGGTGGTGTATATGGCATATTTAATACCCAAACTGAAAGATCATATAGAATCTACTTACTAATTGCAACCTTATAATTTGGATTGAAAGTATGCAAGGCACTGTAACTGATGATTTTACACTTCATTTCATTAACTTGTATTCTCTTATTTGAATATTGTAGGCATTTTTTAATGATCAAAGTGTGAACTCTGGTTTAAAGTTGCTGTCATCTTCAGGACGATGGACTACATTGGGTAAATGTAGAATAAATTATTCTTAAATTAAAAAGTCTGTGTTTTAACTATTTTGCTCTAATTTACCATTTCCTTAAGAACAGTTCATATATGTGTATTTTCAGCTAGTTGAAATATCTTAAAGAATTACTTCTTTTACTAAATAACAGGAAAAATTATACTAAAGATAGAAAAATATTTTACTACATATAGGAAAAGATTCTTTGTTACTAAATTGTCACCTTTTATGCCTTTTTTTTCCTTGACCCCTGCATCATTCCATAAAACAAGTACCTAAAGCTGTTAATAAATGCTTTGTGATAGCCAGTTAACTTGATCATGTATCCAGACATAATCAACTGCATTATTTGTGGAATTATAGAAGTACCTTTTTCAGATAATATATGGAGAAGGGCATTCTTCTATAGATGCAACAACCTGGCTTGGGACAGGTCTGAGATGATTGCACTGTTGCAAACTAAAACTGAGAGCAGAGGATTGGTGGAGCACACCCCAAGCTCATGTAAATCTGCTGTCTGTACAACCATGGTGATGCAGGCGCAGAAGAGCCCTGTGTGACAGGCTGCTCCAGTTGCAGCCATGCCGTGAGGGTCACTTTGACTTCGTTGCCCTATCACAAACTTCTTAAAACACTCCATTATATCTGCAGATGCAGATGAGACACTAAAGCAGGAGGGCCAAAAGCAAATAGCAAATTTATGGCACCACTTTGAAATTGCATTTTTCATTATGTAAATGGCACACAAAAATTCATGGCAATTGCATGTGATACTGTAATGGTATTTTATGCATAATGTGATCACTGATATTTTCAAAGTGATTTTCCATAATAGGAATATTTTAAAAGAGAGTAGTGGGAGGCCCTCGTTTCTTTTGGTTTGTGTGCAAATACGTTACTGTATTAATATTAAATGGAGCTTTGGGAATTTTCTGACGTTTCCTTTTCAGCTCTCTGGAATTGGCAAAGGTTTTTACCACTGTATACAATGACACTAGACATTGCCACTTTTTTATCAGCAAAAATCCGTTTTCCAAGCACTGCACCCAACTGTTAAAACAGTTGAAATATATAAGATGTGAAAAAAATCTCAAGTATCTTCAGGTACCTCTTTCTCGCTGTGGCAAGCAGAAAGGAAATAGATGTATTTTAAGACACTAGTAAACCTTTTCTTGCTTTATACAGGGGTTTTTTTAGGCTATCTGTCTAGTCTACAAATTGTCAGTCCCTGTAGTGAAGGTCAGTAGGTTACATACCTTGTGCTAAGACTGGAGGTCTCTTGCCAAGTAACCCAGCTTAACTCTTGATTCTGCTCAATCTTTTTCTGCACAGAAGTGAAGCATTTTGTCTCAAGGACTGGAAGGGTTCCCTTTCTGAATCCTGAACAGCTGGTATACCCTGTTTGCTCTTAAAATTTCATCTTCCCATTCTTTGCCTATTTTTGGTGAGGAATGTTGGCACATTTTTCTATACTTAGTCTTCATGTGCATTTTTTGAAAATACAGTAAGAATTAGCTGTGAGTGGGAGGAGGTAAAAATCATCTAGTATTTTCTTCATCAGACATGCTGATACATGAATCCAGATATACCATTTACTTGTCACTGTGGAGTAACTTCAAAACAACATTCCTGTTGTTAAAAAATACTGGAAATGTGCTCCTTTTGCTTTTTAGAAAATCTGAAAAAAATTACATGGTCTAGCTTGATTCAAATACTGCATTTATTCTCTTACAAACAAAAATGTTAGTATTTTTTTTTAATGGGGGAGACAGTTTGAATGCATAATAAAGGTGGGATTAGATAGATAAATAGAAAACTTCCTTCTCCTCCCCTCCATGACCTTGGCAGGATTTATGCACCCACAGAAAGATGTCAGCATTGTAAAAGAAATTAATATGGTATTACAGTAATGTTTGCTTTATAATAATTTTTTTGAGGCTGTGGTCCCCTTTCACCTTTTCACTTATTACTTTTTTCCCGGTTGAATTCCACAATAATACGTTGTTTCAAGGACTCCAGCTTCAACATTACTTGAAATWAAACATTTTAGGTAATATAATTTTAGGTAAATTATACGCAAGGATATTCTCTCGGCTACTTCATCTGATCAGAAAGATGGTCAATGACCTAGTCTCACACCACACTTTTTTGCCTATTGTAGTACGGATATTTTTTCCACTTCTGGCAGCATGGCAGRGTATCTGATATTTCTGGTGTGCTTTAAGCCATCTATTCATCTGTTACTCTGATATTTCAAAAATAGAAGCAGCAAAAGGAACAAATTTGATGTGTACCCATTTATGTCATGAGTCCTGTGTTTTTAAAATAGCTGCAATGAGAACTAAATAATCGTTTTTCCCTGGACACATTGCTGGCCTTGCACCTGTCAGCAGTCTTAGGGAGGCAGGACTGTATCTGCTTAAGCTCAATTAACACTTGAAAATTTATCTTCAGAGGGGTAAAGTTACCATCTTTTTGTATAAATAAAGAATTACTTTTTGCCTGAAAAAAGATTCTTGAGTTGCCATATGTACTTGAAACTTCAACAATTTCTGTCTTTAGAATGGGGTTTTAAAATCTGGAAGGTAATCTTAAATTAGCAATTTTTAAAGCTATTATTATAGGTTATAATTTGCCAAAAATTTTAGATGTTATTTGAACCTGTAAATCATCAACCTTTTACTCTTGAAATACATTATTTTTTTAATACTGAGCACTGAACCTGCATTCTATATAAACTATTTTGTAAATAGTAAGTTGCRAGATGTTTCTCTGTCATTAAGAAACTTTCTTAGATTTTGGAGAAATTCTAAATATATATATAATCCAGGGTTTATCTGTCCCATACTAGATATGGAACATGTCAATTTAAAAATATACTGGCAACACTTTATGGATCTAGAGTTGGCTGTTATAAAAAGCTGAAACTGATTCAGGACTTCTCAGCTCTTTGTTTTCCACTTGCAGAGTTTTCAAGGCATTTCTTCTTATTTTACTGCTGACTTTTCAGCAGTAAAATAGTGTTATTAAAACCAGTCACTCTTGTCCAGGAAATTCTGAATTTCAACTCTTACCTTTCAAAAAGTCTGGGCGCTTCTAGTGTATTTAATCTTTTCCATGTATAGTTTGGTTTTCTGAGCTACTGAATAGATTTCAAAGCTCTTGGTTTTTTTTCTCCTGATTAAAGTTTTCATAAAATCTTTTTTCAGAGCAGAAGTGTGTTCCCTTCTACCAATGAAATCCTTATAATTTAGGAGCTATAAATAGCTTGATTTCTTATAGWGTTAGCTCAATAACCGGGAAAACATAAGTTTTTTCATTTTTCTCAAGTCATTCAACTTTTGATTTTTGTTTGTTGACTCAGATTTTAATATAATTTATAAGATAAGATAAAGGCTGATTTGGCTCTTATTAATCCTTTATATAATAAAAATTCTATTGCTGTGAAAGGGAGCTGGAGAATTAGGAGTTAGAGGAAACTGGAGGTGAGGGGGTGGGAGGAAGTGTGAATAAACAAATATAAATCAGTTTGAGGTTTTTTCATAGGTTATAAAGCTGTAATTCATGTTTTTTCTGACTTGTTTTTGGTTATGTAATTCGATTATTTTTCGATAGCCACGGTGTGTACAAGTAGGAGAATGTCCTAAACCTTTTCTCTACAATGAAAGGTACCCTTTTTCATAACCATTGTCTGTAGACAGGAACCCAAGCAATTAAATGCAGTGCTTTTGTCTATATCAGATTTTCTTGACATCACATTGGTCCAGTAAAATAATTTAAAACTTCCTGTCAGTATTTTAGCCTAAGTATGTACATTTTCAAGCCATCAACTTATAACTTCTCTTTATTTTTTTCCTGGTATTGATTGTTTGAGTGGTACAGTACAAAAATCCCAGGGGCTTTCTGCAGGTGTGGGGGCAAGAGAAAATTTAGGCTATGCTGTGCTTACAATTTGGAGGATTGGAGTGAAATGATAGGTGCTCTTGGAAGCATCATGGTTCATGCATCCCTTTTTGGCATATTTCTGTTCCTGACATACTGTCATCTAGAGGGAAATTTGGACATTTCCAATATAATAATGCTTAGAATGATCCTTCAGGTCAGTTTGTCAGGACAGCACTGAATTTTATCTTTCATTGTACGGGAAAAAGCCTTTTGGTACTGTGATGTTGCTGGCCAGTCTTGCATCAAGAAAACCTGCAGAGTAGAAGAGATAAGAATAAACTCCTGGACAGCTGGAATGTTGTTGATATTCTCTCTGCTGAGATGCACTGCCCTTGTGTTGAATGCTCATTGGTGCTCTCATCCCCTCTCATGTTCAGAAGCACTTTGAAGACTGTTCAGGCAGACCTGGAGATGGGTAGGGAACATGTTCTAATATTTGGGCTGAACACTTGGACTGCACAGAGCAGACAGAACTGGGCTGAGTCCAAAGCTTCTTTAACATGGGGCCTAAGGCTGGTTGAGACACTATAAGTTATCCAACACCATGCAAACAGGTTTGTAGGTAWAACACTGTATGTAGAGAAGATATGTACATGGACTGATACATCATTAAGGACAATACTTTTGGGCATCTCAAAAAGCACTAGAAGTCTGTGAGCAACAGGATCCAGCCTTGCATGATTTGCAAGCAGAGGGGGGAAATATTACACAAAAATATATTCTGTGCTTAATGATTACAGAGATAATACTCCAGATTCATACAGGAAGCGCTGACAGTATCCTTTTCATCTTCTGAAATAGCTGGTTAATAAAGCTTACAGTGGCTACAAAATAACTTTCTYTAAAGTTCAGATATAATGCTTGACAAATCAAAAATTCTTCAAGGCAGGATTCATTTTGGTTTTTACTTTGTGGGGTGCTATTAGCAGCTCTTGACTTCTGTACTTCATCATGCCAAATTCGGCATCTGTCCTTATGCTTTAAGGCTTAAGCTGTGCAATACGATTTTCTAAGGGTGTGATCTAACATGATGCTGGGTTCATATGGTGCTCCATCCTTCTCTGGTTTTGGTTGATGGTATTTACACACATGAGCATTAATGGAAAGTAGTATTCAGATGAATTTAATGTTTTCTATACACTTGATTCTTTCTGAGCTTTCTTTGCCCTCTGTGCTTGAGTCATACCTGATCTGTGGRTTTTTTTCAAGAATATGAAACATGCAACCAGTTTCCTATATATTCCAGGTTCCAAAGTGACAAAAATTGAAGCTACAGTGGTACCMTGTACACAGATTTCCATGTCATTTTTTGATCGACTGTACTCTGAAGGAATTGTTAGAGAAACCGGAACTATTGCAAAATGTTATGATGACTATTATGATGACATTCTTATCTCTGATCAATTAAGGAAGGTCAGTATAGTAATGAATAATTTATTATATTTTTTCTACTCTATTAGGTACCATAAGGACACATTTTTCATGAGCTTTTATACTCTAGTGGAGGTGTAAAGCAGATTATCTGGAAAAGAATCTCTGACAGTGGCACCCTCTTAATCAACGTATGTCTTCCCTGTGTTTCTTTAGACTTCATATGCTAAAACAATTTTTTAACTTATGTTTGTGTAGCATTAGCAAAACATAGTGTGGGAGAACTGGATTTTGCTCTTCCTTGTATGTATAATCAACATAAGTACTAAATAATTATAGAGTTGCACTCATTTGCACTTGGCAAATCCTTTGAAGGCAATATATTTGAACCGGTGACACTGGTTAGARGATGTGGCCTGAAATACTGGTCTGTCTTGTAAAGTTCTGGGAAAAGGTGAGAACTCAAACTCATGTTTGAATTTCAGGCGTAGTTTGTAGCCTAGCAATTCAAAATACTATTAATTTATTTATGAGTTGGGTACATTTGAAATGTTTTCCAAAAATTAAATATATTGTGTGTAGGAAGGTTAGAGGCATCATTTAAAATTAGAAATTATTGGGGTTTCAGTGTCTTCCCAATTTCCTTCCCATGGAAGTGATGGGTATGTCAGCATTTGCAAGCTGAGGGTTTAACATTGATTTGAAACAAAAGTGATCCCTACTCATAAGACCTAAGACAGCGGAAAGAATAAGAATCAAAGTCTTCCGGGAAAGCCATCAAAACTTCAATTAGTCAGGGCTCTAGGACAGAAGACTGTAGGGGGCACCAAACTGTCTCCTGGTGTCAGAGGGTAGCCCTTGGCAGCAAGACTCTGTCTTCCTTTCCTACCTGCCATGCCTTCTGTTGTTTCAGCCATGTATGAGGTGGCCATCCAGAACAGTTGTTGCCCTATCCCCGTTTTACTCACGTTGTGCAGTTTTGTTATAAAGAGGGCCAAAGAGCAGTGGGCTCATGTCTAACTTTGGCCAGTTTGACTGGGCTGGCATCTGCAGTTTGGCTGACATGTCTTGTAGCCCAAGAGGTTACAACTCCTGTCCACATTTACACAAACCACTGTTGACACTAACCTAGCAAATCCTCTGCGTTCACGTAATATCTCAGCAAAAGGCAGGTGAGACGCATGGAGGCAGCTGGATGCATGTCTGGCTAATCCAGGCTACATATTAGGGCTCCTTGGAGTCTGCAGTAAAGAATGATGTGAGTTTGAGTGATCTCCTCTGGGAGATCCTCAGGATTCCTGTACAAATGTGAAGTAACTCTGTCAATTTAAAATTGAAAAAGCAAATGCTACCAAAACCAGTTACCAAATCCAAACTGATTAGCAGCAATTGACATATCAAATATAGGTAGATTTCAGACTGATAGTTTCATTGGCATGACAGATAATCTACCAGTGAAATAACAAGACTTGAAAAACATTCCTTTATATCTTTTGGGCACAAATCTGACGGTGATTCTGCTTTATATTATATGTAAGAAATTTAAACCTAATTGTATCATTGGAAGATGGATTTAGAAATACTTATTTCTGTCCCTCATCCATATATTTTATATRGACCTAATTTCTGTGTGCCATACAGCAAAGTAGTTACAGTATTTATAAACTGAAGCTTAAATAAATTTTTATCRATTTGACTTCCTTGTTTTTTCCACAAGGTCTTGCTTCTGGAGGATTCTGACCATTATGACTTATTCAGTCAATTGGATCGCGAGGAATTTCTCTTCTGTCTTTTTAAGCATTTTTGCATTGGAGGAGCTCTTTGCCAGTTTGAAGATGTAGTTGACCCATACTTAGAAACTACAAAAGCTTTTTATAAAGACTTGGTGAGGTAAGCTTTACTCTGTTTTATACAACTATGTACATGTATTGACACTAAGTAAATACTTAGTGTCAATTTGTGTAAATTTATTGTGCATTACTGCTTCAAAGATGGGGCTGTTATTTTATCCACCTGCAAGCTGCTTTGTGTCCAACTCTCAAAGTACCATGGAAAAATGGTAACAGTTCAGTGGCAAAATAYATGCAATTTTAATTGCATCAGTCCCACTTAAGAACATGTTTTGTATTTCAGTTCAGATTTTGTTCCCACTGTCATTGATAAAATATCCATAATTAAGTCTTGGCTGTATAATCTTGGGCTACTTTTCAATTGGACTGCTTTTAAGTTAGGATTTAAAATTTGAAATAATTAGTTGAAACTTTRGTTCCGTATATTTTTTACCCCTACTGATCAATTTTTTTTTTTTTTAATACAGTTGGATTTTGGTCTTCCTAGTTCTGCMAATACATTTCTCACAGTGTAAAGCTAAGGATGATAGAATCTTGCTGCTAACATGACACAGTGAACTAACACACATTTTTTACCAGGTTCAGTGTGTGGAATTTTTGGAACTTTTTGTGAGGGTTTTTTTTTTCCCTTGAGATTCGAGGTAATTGATCAGAGATTCAGATTCAGACTAAAACCACATTTTTTGCCCTGCTTTGATATATATATCCATATACMAAAGCTGATTTCTCTAAATGACAAAACTTCTTATGTCCTGGTTAGTGGGAAATGGAATGTAGTTGTTTATTCAGACTCATTCTTAGTTAAGCTAATGGGAATATAAAGATTGTGAAAGATGTTACTAAAATTTTTGTTAGCATTAGTTTTGGTATTTTCATCTCATATATRGATGAGAATCAAATGAGTTCTTCAGAAATACAGGATTTGGCATGAAAGGATCCATCAATGTTTAACTGTACCCTTCCTTTTCTTTTGAATTGTTACTCTGCACTTGAATCAAGCTGCTTGCTCCTTCAGTCCCGTGTCTTACTCTGCATTGACCACAGCTGATTCTGTTCTTATGTTGTTGAATTGATCTAAGACAAAGTACAAATCCAATCAGTTCCTTCAATTTACTGGTCCTCTTTGCTATTGAGTTGTTTTATCCTAAACACATTCTGTTGTAAGCCACTCTTTTTTTTTACGTTCCTATCTCCTTAAACCTCTTTCCATTCTTTTTCCTTTTMATGCTGTAGAATTTGATAAGGATGTCAAATATACTTAAAGAAAAGTCTCTGCCAAGATCCTCCCACAATCTCATCCTGCTTTCAAGGTTTACTTTTTTTGTATCCTCAAACTGCTCCTTATTAGCCCTTTTTATTTTTCTCTTCTGTGCTGCTTCTGTCCTTTATAAACTATTTAGGAGAAAATATTTCCTGTGCTATTTGGGATTTTTTTTTTACCGGTTGGCAGATTGCTTTCTRTTCTCCCAAGTTTTGGAGTACATCTACTCTGTTCCTGTGATGCAACTGATCTTCAGTATTAATCTACCATGTGTCTCTCAATTTCTGTGCCCGTAAATGTCTGCTGTTTTCTCACTGCTAGAGGAGCTCGTCTTAACACTGAAAACAAAACTTACCATTTAATTAAATCTTTTATTTGCTTCTTTGACATTGAGTTCTTTGTCAGTCCTGTGAGAAAAGCTTTTGATCTTGACATTTCAGACCTTTCTTCCCTCTYCCCAATCATGTTTGTCTTTTCCTTGGTCTCATTTCCCCGCTCCCAGTTCATCCAAAATTATGTTTCCATTTTATTTCCACTGCCTTAAGAGAGAAAAAGCCAGTGAAAGGCTCTGAATAGGAACACTAATAACAATCTCAGCTAAATTTCTAATTTCTAGTCCATGCTGTGCACTGTGTTACTTCATCCTTGCACAAATTACACTAGAAAATAAAGCAATTAAAATTACTTTCTTAAAGCCTCTTATTTTCAGCAAACAAGTGCTAATGGTAGTAGTAATCTCTTAAATTCTGTTTACCAAAAAGTTCACCTTCAAATTCCGGTTGAATACCAAGTATTGTTTAAATTCTTTTTTAGACTGCTACCCTCTGTTTGGTTTCATTGCATTTTGGACTATAGTCACATTGGATACTTTCTACTCTTTGTAAAATGATAGTAAAAGCTTTTCATGGTATTAAAAAGTCTGCAAATTGTACTGTTCTTAARGTTTAATTTTGAGTTTGAGGCTCAAATGGCTTGGTCAAAAAACAAATGGATACTACAATAATTATTAGCTGCTGGATGATGTGCATTGAAAAATTAGCTGCCACAGATKAACTCAGTCTAAAAACAATGAGCTTATGGATGTATAAACTACCACTGCTCAGTCCTGTTATAGTATTCCTTTCGGGCAAGAGCCCTGGCATGAAGAGTTCCACAAAAGTGTCTTTACTGCTGGGAGCAGCAGATCTACTAATGAGCTTTTCCGTACTTATCTTTACTACAGCCATTTTTTTCCTGGCCTGAGTTCTAACCTGAGTTCTAACTCCAAGGCACTAGAATGCAAAATATTGTCAAAAAGATGGAGGTTTCATTTTATTAAAGCATTTTTATATAAATTATTTTATTATGAGACAATGCAATACTCTTTTTGAAATTAACAGCTCCAGATATTTTACAAGCGCAGCTAGGGACTTCCAAACACAACTACAAAATGGCAGACATTCTTTTCTTTGCAAAAGGAGTGATATATTCTTACTAAAGAGTTAATGCATAACATGTAGTCTGTTACTAATCCATTGGTAATWAGTCTGTGAGTTGATCAAATGTTTAGTGATCTAGTGTTTAGTGTTGTATACTGTGTAGCCTAAATAATTTCAAATCCCTTGTAATGTTTTGATTTAAAGAATATATTACATGACAGAAACTTGTAAATTAAAATATAATCTATGAATCTGTGATGATAAATCTTGTCCTCTGTACTTAACCCTTGATTTTTCTGACCATGTCTCTCCATGGTGACAGCTGCTGTAGCATATTGTAGTCATTGTTTTTATCTCCTTTCTTCATCTCCATCTCCATGCCCTTTCCCCCATAATGAATGAATGTATGTGAAAGTATGAAGTTGTTCTTTCATTGTTTGGAAAGCCTAATAAAGTATTGTCAGTATGGTTAGGATATAAATAAAGCTCAGAGTGAATTGAGAGGCCATGAGGATGTTTGCTCTTCATAAAAATAGAATAGATGAACATTAAAATGATGAACTACCATATCCAATGACTTATTTAGAAGTTAACAATSTGAAAGAACATGGGGCTATTAACATTATTTGCAATGGAATACCATCCTCTCCAAAAGGACAATGTAGTTTTTTTCTAAAACTGTTTAGGGGAAAAAGAAGAAATAGTGCAAAYGAGCTTGTCAAAGGCAACCTCTTGGTTTTCTTTCAAGTCAGCAAAGGAAGATTCCCGTCTGATTCTAACAGACACAATTTTTTGCCTTAAAGAATAACCAAAGTACTGGAAATATATACTCATCCTGAAAAATTACTTACAGGAAGCTAACCACAAGGGGAAAATTTCTCAAGGCTGTGGAATAAATAGGAAGACTTACTCTTTGACACCTCTTACTTTTGTATCCTAAATATGTATAATATGAAAATTAAGAAACCAGAAATTGATACCATAATTTCAGACAGAATAATCTGAAGCCAAAGTAACTTAAATRCAAGTGTAGCTTTTGGGGGTGGTGATATTTGGTAGAAAGCAATAATGCCACAAATCCTCTATGTCTTGTTCTGAAAGTTGTCAGTCTTTCCACAGAGATGGTCGAAGAGTTTCTGAACCGCTGCAGTTACAGCCTGGTGTGTCAGCATAAAGTGACATCTGTGTTAGTTTGGCTTAATRTGCTGGCCAGTAAACGGCCGTGGTTCAGAAGCTGAGTCATGAAGCAGCTGAGCTGTCCTGCTGGGAAGGCAATCCTCTCTGGAGGGGTGGAAGGCAGACAGCTGGGGTCAGTACCAACTTCAGCAGTRCTGTCTTCATCCACTGTTGAGTATGTCAACATGTCAGATGCAACAAAAAGGTCTGAGAAAGCCTCATTGCTGACTGACCACAGGGAAGATCAGCTTCACAGCACAGGTTCAAACATGACTGTGTCATTACAGATTAAATCAGTTAATTGGAGAGTCAATTTCTTTTATTGACTGGAGAGATTGAATACACGAAGGTGCTGTTGGTTGCTTTGGGGTTCGTTTGTTCTTATAAAAGGAATCTTTCCAAGCATTGGTAACAGGGGACTGCTGTCACAGCTTGCACCTGATGTGGTGTTCAACTGGGCTGTGTTTCACACATCCTCTTGTAACTTGTCTATACTGGGACCTTTCCTGGGAACGGAACCTGTTTAAGACAAGGCAGGTTTTTAGCTATGTATTTCTTGAAAGTGTGTAAGTACAGAAGTTTTAAGCCTCAACTGTTCCACGGTGAGTTAATATAAATGGGAATCTGCAATATTAGATAAATKAATAGCAGTTACCTTATCTAATTTCTGAAGAAATGTAAGCATCACTTAAAGCAGACCTGAGGAAAAATTATATATTAAAATACTTAAAATAGGTTGAGATACCTGGATTCTTTGTAATAATATCTCAGTGTTATTAGTAAATGTGATGAAAGAAATGGCAATAGTCAYAACAGTCTAGAAATATGAAAGCTCAGAACCAATCCCAAGTTGTGTAGCTGACAATATATACAAAATTCCAAAGGAGTAAAAATAAACCTAAACTATAATTACACAAATTAAAAATGAGCTAAAGAATGTATTTCTTCACCAGTAGAATACATAAAGAATGTATTTCTTCACTGCTGCTAGTTCTCGTAGTCTGTATTAAGATACATTTCATTTTGCAGGTTTTATCTATTAAAATGTAAACTCCATACTTGGAATCATCTAAGTGTGGGTAATAATGCTGTGATTTAGTAGCTGAAAACAGTGAAATCAAGTTAGTTGACTAGATAMATTCAATATTTTTCAGTAAAATGGCATAATAGCCATGTTATCTAACAATGGCTACATAGCTTTTCATGGTCAATGTGACATAAGTTAAATTTTAACTATAAATTTGACCTTCATAAAATTTGAGCAAGGATACAGTGYGTATGTTTAAAATGTATTTAAAAAATTAAAGATTCTAATTATCAGTACTTATAATATATATTAAGTATGTATTATACTCCTGTATTTCAGTGTTCAGAAGAACCCTGAAACAAAAGAAATACATATTATTTCTACAGTCTTCAGAGTATCTGCCTATGTAAGTATTAATAATTTTTTATATGGGATTTTATGGGCAGTAATATACRTTAACATGAAAATAATGAATTGACTTTTACACAAAGAAAACATAATATTCTATTGTAATGGGTTATTTTCCCATAGTTGYAATTTTTTTATTCATGAACTCTTTCCCTGATCTCATCCTGCTTTCTCATCCTCTTTACTAACTCTTCATCAGTAACCACCGAGTAAAGTTTTATTTGGTAGCTCACTAAAAATAGGTTTACTGGATTACACTRGAAATCATAATAGTTATCCAGAAACTAGTTCATTAAAAAAAAAATTAGTTATACTGGGTTTAGATKATAATAAAACTTGAGATAGCAATAAGTATTAGGGATGCACTCATGACTTCCTATAGTTCTGTTTTTAGTAATGTTGCTAGAGCTTTCTGAATAGTTTGTATCGCATCTATGTAAAGACTGCAAGGAAGTTTAGAATACAATAAGGCTGGGGTGGTGAGATGACTGCTTACCTCTTTTCCTGTCCCTTGTCAAGTCTCATTCCTRTCTGTTTCCCTTGCAAAATCATACATTTTCCATCAAGATAAGTTTGAGAATTTGCTGCATGTTTACTAGATTCAGCRTATCTGTCATTTAAGTTGTTACAGTAGGATGAACTACTACAAATTGTTCTTGAGTAACCAGAATATGTAATAATTAAATGTCAGCTAATGTACCCACTTTCAACAACAGTAGCTGATGTCATTTCAGACAACACAAACTTCCCTGTAGGTTGCCAATAGCTCAGTTGTTCATCTGTTGGTCATCATCTAAGTACTATGTATGAGTCATAAAAGGCTTTTGAAAATAAACACTTTATGAGTGTATCAGAATTTATCTTTCTGCTAGGTTTCAGACTGCAAAAAAAAAAAAAGCAAAACCCTGGTAATCGGATGTTCTTCTGTTATTACTGTTCCTTTCCCACCTCTGAATCAAATGCATTGATGTGAACTTTGCAGATGTCTGTGTTTAGGTAGATGGACATTAAAAAGCTCCCCTATCTTAGCCATACATTAAACATCATCAGCACTACAGAGAAAAATACAACAAACAAAGAAAATCCCAACCAAACTTAAGGAACTTTTTGTAAACAAAATAGACGGACAAAAGAAAATCCAGTGTTAATGCAGAGCAGGCTATCCACCTTGTAGTCTTGGAGGAAAATTGGGCATTACTGCACATTCTGAAAATCTGTGGGGTGAAGGAGAATTCTGAAATTACTRTTAAAGAACATTATTAAGAATTTTCTCTCATGAAACAGAAAGACTTAAATGGTGAATCTAGACTGATGGTTATATGGATCAAAACTATTCAACTCTGCTTGGCACTTAAAGGAAAGACTTACTGGAGCATAAATGTGTTTGAGATGAAAAAATTCTCTCAAGGAGACAACTACATTTCTGCAGTGGATTTAGTTTCTGAGTTGACTTGATAAATAACTGTAGGGTGTTACTATAATCCTTAGGTTGAGCTGACAGTTTTTAAGCCATGTTTTCTTGGTTTATATCTGGAAGGGCATACCCTCCTGAGCTGATGTAAATAGATAAATATTTTTTTTAATAAATTAATTTTAAAAAGCTGATCTGGTAAAAGTGGCTTTTGCAGCTGAACACCATTTAAAAACAACATCTAAAAAAGCACACTGTTAGAGACATAAATATCTCAAGGTTTTAAGTTATAGTTCACRGAATATGCTTAGTTAGAAGGGACCCACAAGGATTCTCAAATCCAGCTCCTGGCCCTGCACAGAACCATCCCAAGAGTCACACCATGTACCCGAGAGTGTTGTCCGAACACTTCTTGAACTCTGTCAGGCTGGTGCTGTGACCAGTGCCCTGGGGAGCCTGGTCCAGTGCCCAACCACCCTCGAGTAAAACCTTTTTTTAATATTCAACTTAAACCTCCCCTGACTGAGCTTCAGACCATTCCCTTGGCTCCTGTCACTGGTCACCACAGAGAGCAGATCAGTGTCTGCCCTTCTTCAGCTCATGAGGAAGCTGCAGACTGCAATGAGGTCACCCCTCAGTCTCCTCCAGGTCAAACACTCCAAGTGACCTCAGAGACACACTCCTTTTATGGCTTCCCCTCAAGGCCCTCCTCCATCTTCATTGCTCTCCTTTGGACACTTTTCAGTAGTTTCATGGCTTTTTCATATTGTGGCACCCAAAACTGCCCCCAGCACTGGAGGTGAGGCTGCYCCAGGTCAGMGCAGAGCGGGACAATCCCCTCCCTTGTCCGGCTGCCARTGCTGTGCCTGATGCCCCCYAGGACACGCTTGGCCCTCCTGGCTGCCAGGGCACTGCTGGCTCATGTTTGACTTGCCACCAATCAGGACCCCCAGGTCCCTTTCCACAGCACTGCTTCCCAGCATCTCATTCCTCAGGCTGTCCATACATCCAGGGCTGCCCCATCCCAGCTGCAGGATCCAGCACTTTCCCTTGTTGAACTTCATATGGTTGGTGATTGCCCAGCCCTCTAATTTGTTGAGGTCTCTCATAAATGTCTGTCGAGSTGTTTAACATCAAAAGCTGATAGACCTGAGCATCACAAGAAAAATAATTTTAGATCTTGTGACAAGGTACTCTATTGAACTCCAAATATCCTTGAGCTTTGGGGTTTTGCATATTATGAAACACTGTTACATYGTAAATATTGGAATGCTCCTGATACTTTAAAACTTTCTTTACCTGCATCTACACTGTGGCAGTGTTAAAAATCAGCATAATGAAAAGATGATTCAAAAAGTATTTTAAAAAATTGTCAATTAAATTATGCAGTTTTGAGAATGTTCAGCAGTATTTTTATTTCTGTTTTATGCTATGCATATGTATTCTTAAATCATCAGCTGTGTTTCTACAAAGAAAAAATAAAATGATCCTACTCTAACATCAGTAAATCAATCATTACACCCCCTGCATGTGTGAACCAAAGTCCACACTGCAGATGGAATTGGTATGATTCTTGTGTACATGCTTGAATGTAGATTTCAGAGCCTTCATGCTCAAGTATTTTAGTGTTTTTATGACYTCTTTTAGCAATTAAAATAAATTTAAGCACCCTTTTCATCTAATTATGTTATATTGATTATTTCCCTCATACCAGGCTTGATATATTGCTTGAAATGCCTCATTGCCAGAACTTACCTTGTTTTTGTTCTTGAGTTGTTGAACAAATTTTTAGTGGGCTCACACTGCCTCTAAATAGTCAAAGCCTCAATTGCTATTGGTGAGTTCCATAAAGACTGCAGGAGTGGGATCCTCAGTAGCAATGGGAAAAGAGTTTAACTAGCAATCACATTTTGATGTTGATCTTCTCTTTCTTTTTTTTGTTCAGTCCCATGCATGAGCTTAGATTATTTTTGGATCAAATTCCAAAGGCCTTGTGATGCTGAGCACTTGCTCTCCTTACTGTAGTTGAGAATCCAGTACTTGTTACACATGTATCCTTAAAAAACACCTGAAGAGAGCTAGGTATCCTACAATTGGAGTTACAGAGCTTGTATGCTATGCTGCTTAAAAATAGAATGCTATTTTTAGCTTGTGGCATTTGACTATCATTGGGAAATTCTGTGAATAAACTTTATCAAATCTCTACCTGTCTAAAACAGTGCTTKTATGAAATGCTTAATTTAAGATCTAGAATAATCCCCCAAAGGAAGACACCAGAACATCTAATAAGGGATTCATTCTCTTTGAAATAGCAGGAGAAAATGGGGTGCCCAGTAAAAGCTGAAGGATAAAATTCACAATTGTCCTTGGAACAGAAATGGGAACCTAGCCCTTTTCCTTCTCAGCTGAGTTAACTACTGAGAGACGTTACAGTTTCCATGTTTCCTTAGTCCTAAAAAAGACAGATTATTTTACGCAAATGAAGACAGCTTCAACTAAAGAATGTGAGAATGTGGAATCTGGAATAGTCTGTAGTCTGTGAGTTTAAAGTCTTCTTGGAGGAAATGAACAATATCTGCAATATAGCAATTTCCCTCAAATAAGAAAAGTGCAACAAACCTACATCTCTTCAGCTGTTGTACAAAGGTGTTGGGGAGCAGGAGGAAACTATTTTATGTTTTAAAAGAAAGGAGGTGTCAGCTACATATTTATTGATCTTTCACATGTTCAATTACCAGACTGGCTAAATAGAAAAAACGCCCTTTAAAAATCCTTCCATCTAATTTCTGGATCCCTACTGGATTTGAAGTCTGTCCAGCTGTGCTGCTCTGTCAACACTGAAGCTTTTACTGACATGTGCAGACATAGGATGTTAACCTGAAGAGTCCAGTCCCTGTGCTGATTGTCAGCTGAACGTGTTTTTTCAGAAACAGAATTTTGGAGCTAGATGCCTAGACTTCCTTCAAACCATTTCTGAGGACTGGCACACAAAATATTTTCAATAATAGTCCAAAGTTGTTAATGTGATCTGTAATGAGTGTTTTGCTTAAATGCAAATATTGAAACTTGAATAGATGCTTTAGCAAATGTTAAGTGAAAAAAAATTACGGTTGGAGCAGCTTTATAATACAGAGTCCATGATTTTTTTTTTCTTTCAAAGGAAACATGATGGGCTGTTGTATATTTAATCATTTATGGTGTAATTGTGTAAACACATGCATACATATTATATTTACCTCAAGGTTATTTGAACATTCAGACAGAATTACTGAGCATTTTGTAGTGTCCGGAATCTTCATGGAGACATATTAGTTTAAATAAACTGTGGCATATTTGTTCTATTTTGCTATGCAATACACTGTTACAATTTGAACGAAGTTATTAACTTCAGATTTCATTAATTCTCTTACAGATATCCATGTTGTCCCTAATACTCTTTTGKTTTTTTGTTTTGTTTTGKTTTTTTTTCTTCCTGTCAGGATGGTAATGGCCTGTGTTATCCTTCAAGCAAAAGCCACCAACAGACTTTTGCCTACTTCATTGTGGACCCCTGCAAGCGACACRTGAATATTCTGTATCACTGTTTCGGTGGAAGCCTGTTTACAAACTAGTTATAAACTTGGCTGGTCTCCCGTTCTGTAATGGAGGTTGTCTTCTCTGTGCATGGATTCAGGTAGACATTGCATAGTTTTCTGACGAGGAAGGTTCTGCTACTTGACTGTAAGCTCGGAAGTGCTTCCCATTCACTCAGATGTTACTTGGGGGTTAGTGACAATATTTTTCCGGTATTTAGTTCTTGAAACTGTGTTCTTGGCCRTTTCTCCCCTTCACTCACCCAGTTTATCTAATAAAGAGTATTTCTCTAGAGGTCTCGTCATTTTTATGAGCAAGCTGTACCGACCCGCGACRCGTAACTGCAGGGGAGGCTCTGCAGTCGGTGAAAGCTCTGCGGAACAGGGAGAAAGCGCGGGAGGGGATCGATCGGAGGGGGGTCCCGGGCCGATGTCCCCTCCGGGCCAGGAGCAGGGAAGCGCGGCCGCCCCTCCCCACCCCCTSGCGGAGCGGCCTCCTGGAAGTTGGGAATAGAAGTTAGGGAGGGAAAAAAAAGTTCTGGTTGGCGGCAGCGCTCCGTGGCGGCCGAGAGCGGGCGGGCAGGCGGGCGGCAGGCGGGAGAGGCGCGGGCGGGCGCGCAGGAGGGGCGGTGCGGTGCGGGCCGGGCCGCGGGCGGAGCGGGGTCTGGGGGCTCCGAGCAGCGCCCCCCGCGCCCCCAGACCCCCGGGCCAGAGGAGGTGCGGGCGGGCGCGAGCARGAGCGCTGCGAGCACGGGCTCCCTCGCTCGGATACGGTGCGGGCGGGCTCAGGAGGGGCGGAGCCGGCGGCGGAGAGTGATTCGGGCGGGCGTAACTGCGAACTTTTGTTTGGTGTGTTGTGTGAGTTAGTTTCCGCCGCCGGGACAGAGGCGCCGGCCGGGCTGGGCCGGGCTCGGGGAAGCGCCGCACGGTCAGAGTTGTTTTGCCAGTTGCCGCGGCCGGGTCGGCTTCTCGACCGAGGGGTGAGAAGCGTCGGCGACAGCAGGACGAGCCCGCGGCCCGGGGATCGGGGCATGCGGGACTGGGAATCCGGGCTCTGAGCCGCCGAGCCCCGCCAGGGAAGCGCCGGGGGGTCCCGACGGAGCCATGGATCCTGGGCAGCCTCAAACGCAGCAGCCGCCGCAGGCAGCGCAGCCCCCGGCCTCGCAGCAGCAGCAGCCGCCGCCGCAGCCCCCGGGCGCGGTGTCGGGGGCCCCGGCCGGCGCGGCGCAGCCCCCGGGTGCGGGGCCTCCTCCGGCGGGGCACCAGATCGTCCATGTGCGGGGCGACTCGGAGACCGACTTGGAGGCGCTATTCAACGCCGTGATGAACCCCAAGGGCGCCAACGTGCCACACACGCTGCCCATGCGGCTGCGGAAATTGCCCGACTCCTTCTTCAAGCCGCCCGAGCCCAAGGCCCACTCCCGCCAGGTAAGGGGGAGGGAAGGAGGGGGCCCGCGCCGCGGGCGGGGGGCGGCGCAGCCGGGCCGTGCTCCCCGTCCCCGCCGCCCAGCTCCTCCCGGGGGAGGCGTATGGGGGAGGGGGCCGGAGTGGGAATCCGCGGGGCCGAGTCGGACGGGGGGCGCCCGGCCGGGGCTGTCGGGGCGCTCTCTGCCGCCCCCACACCCCTTTATTTGTTCTTCCCCAGGGGTAGGGCCGCCCCCCGTGCCCCGGGACGCCGACGGGGCCGGGGCCGGGGCTGGGAGCACAGCAGGAGGGCGGGCGAGCGCTGGCCCCGTCCCGGTCTCCAGCGGGGCCTCGAACTCCACATCCGCTCCTTGGCTTTCTCGGCCTCACCGGGAGGGCGGYAGTGGGGGTGAGACCCTAAAACTTGGGTGAAAACGCTTTGCTTGGAATTCGCTCTGCGGTCGAATTCCCTGCCCACTGTGGAGGGGGGCGACGAGGTGGTGCCAAACCTACACTCCCTCGCCCCGTCAGACAATAAATATGGATGTGACTTTTCCACCATTTCAGCACGGCGCTGGCTCGAGTAGGATTAACCCCCCACATACGCACGCACGCACATCCGAAGTTGATTCCCGAGCCAGACGCCAGGTCTGACGGCGTCCCGGGTCCAGGACAGCGGCGGCAGCCTGGGAGCGGGGCTCGGAGCTGTGGGGCCTCGGCCGGCCCGGGGGAGGGAGGGAGGGAGGGAGGGATGGATGGATGCGGGGCAGGGCCGCGCAGGGAGCGGGGGAGGGATGCGGGGCAGGGCTGGGAAGGGGGCGGGGCAGGACCGGGGGGAAGGGGCGATGCGGGGGCAGGGCCGGGGAGGAGCTGGCTGGGGGATGCGGGGCAGGGTCGTCGCTCGGCCTCCGGGAGCGTTTGGTCTTTTAGCAGAGGGACGGACTTTTGTACCAAGACCTAGCTGCTGATGCGAATASGAGCGAAAGCTAATGCTATTACCAACTTTTTCGAAGGAAGCTGCGCCTACCTAGTCGAGTATTAYTAAGTAATGAACTTTGTTGCTAAGCTATAAAATAAGTTTTATCAATGGCTATTGTCACTTTATCTGTGTAGCCAGTAAGAGTGAAGCTCGYTGTGTGCTGGTGCCTGGTACCCGTGTTGTTCCATTATTAAACTTGCATTTTGAGCGATTTATAACTTAAGTAGTTCATTCCAGGCTGAACCTTGGCGCATACTCTCTCAGCCTAGGAGTTAATTCATTTTCCAAATACTCAAAAAAGCAGTCTGGCTTTCGTATAGGAAGACYGAAAAGAAATTTGAAAGGGGTGGTGCTGGGCTGCTTCTGAGTTGCAGACCTTTAATAACATACTGAAATCCAACAAGGAATAAGGGATTTATGTATAGTCTTCTCCCAACTTGTGCAAATCTCATTGCAGTTCCATCTGATTGGGTAGACATCTAGTACTTGGTGCTGTGTCTTGTTAAATACAGTAACTGCAGTTAAATAGCTGTTATGTTTGAAATGCATTTAACGTGTGATGGTCATACAACTTTTGGTTGTACTTTTAAAGCTTAGTTTTATATTCCTTGTGTATGTTAGTCTTCATCTGTAAAGCATATTTAGTTAGATCACTTTGTACCTTATACCATTTGGTGGTTCCTAAAACATAAACTTGAAATTCAGCTGAAGCAAGAGAATAATTTGCTTCATTGTGGACTGTCTTTTAGTTTAAAACTGTTTTCATTTTGCCATTTAGTTTAGTTCTGCTACATAAACATTCTGCTTAAAGAAAAGGTCTGTATTTCATGTAAATCTGTGATTCTCAGGAATTAAAATATTGCAGATTTTCTTGATTTACAATATTTTAATCTGTTCTTGTCTATTTTGTTTGAATGTGAATGCAAACTAATTCCACGTGTGCTTGCATACAGATGGRATGAAGCAAAACTGTATGTAAAAGCATGTTAAGTGGGGCTTATATGGTGCAATACCTTGTGTAGAGAGGTGTGACCAAGGCTGAKAGATGCATCTCATTATAGGTGTCARTGTTGTTCTGGTCTGTCTATAAAACCAGTTAATWGGTCAATATATTTTTAAAAGCCATTTTTACTTCAATCAAGTTTTCAGAACTGCCTTTTCTGTTCTATGTTGGGCATGTATTTACTACTGGCAAGGAYGTTCTCTGTACTTGTGACTGGTGACTCTGATGAATGAGTTTGTGAGTCATTTCTGATTGACTGGTTCAACCGTTGAAGCTTTGCATTCGATAAAGCATGGACAGATTCTTTATACCCTTAGAAGATTGAGTTGCTAGGAAATGTTACGTTCAGTCGTCTTGTATAGGGTTTTTTTGGTGGAATTTGTGAGTCTTTCTCCCCTGTAACTCACTGCTGCCGGTTGGCATTTTGCTATTGCTTTTCTCTTTGTAATCTTTTAAACCCCTATAGGGTAGGGGGAGGAGTGTGCATGCCCTTGAACCCCCACACCTCCAGTTGAAAAGGAGAGTGGGAAGTTAACTCTTCCAGCAGAAAGTGGGTGTGATGGTAGTGAGTGGGTGCAGTACAGTACCAAACCACTCAATGTGCTGGATGAGGTCTGCTGGCTGCAGTTTTCAGAATAAAGCTAAGGGCTCTCAGCACATACAGTTAATATTTCTTGACTTGCACAAGGGCTTTTGTTATGCTAATTAACCAAACTATTCGGAGGCTTGCTTGAACAGTAACAACTGGAAAATGGGCAKAGGTATAGAACAACTGAGCTATGAGTTTCTCCTGAAACGTTCATTTAAAGTGAAATGCCTTCTGACAGCTGCATTTCTGCTGAAATACAGGAATCTTAATGGAAATAATTTCACTCCTGGCAGGCCAGCACTGATGCCGGGACAGCAGGAGCCCTGACCCCACAGCATGTTCGAGCTCATTCCTCTCCAGCATCACTGCAGCTGGGAGCTGTTTCTCCAGGGACACTTACACCCTCTGGAGTAGTGGCTGGACCTGGAGCTCCATCATCTCAACATCTCCGCCAGTCTTCTTTTGAGATCCCTGATGATGTACCTTTGCCACCAGGTTGGGAGATGGCTAAGACGCCATCTGGACAGAGATACTTTCTTAAGTAAGTAAAATTTCTTTTCAATTCACTGTATCTCTGGCATTTTTAGTTGTTATATATTTTGTTTTTACAACTTTAGGATTTTAGTAAATACCATTGTGTTTAAAATAYGTATTTTTGAAAACATGTTCCTGATTTTAAGCAGGGGCCCTATCACTTCAGTACTTCTCCCATATCAACTGTGCTGTTTCTAAAAACTGTATGGTACTCTGTGAGTATTTGTACTATCATAATCCTAGCTAAAAAATATCCATTATATTATATACTAAAAATCAATTGAATGAGCATAATGATTCTTAAACAGTGAGGCTTTTAGATTTGCTGAATATTATCAGAGATGTCATGCAGGTCAAGATACATATTACCTCATTTTAATAATAAAGATGTAAAAAGCAAATTCCAGAATTTCTAATGTTGTTTCGTATTCCTAGAGCTGTAACTTTTTCACACAGTAAAATTAGTATCACCTTTTCTAGAACGGAAGACAAGTTACACGTGTCATCCATTTGACACTCAATACATCAGGAAGCATTTTCTTTTATCATAGTTTACCCTCAAATATTTTAACTATAATTTGGACTTTTTACTTAACAGCAGGTCCCYAAATAACCTATTTTATGCCATTTGCAGGATGGGGAGAAGTAACACTGTGTTACTTATGTATCTTTATCCCTATCTTTCTCACTCAAACATTGCRATTAATATGTATACCTGATTTAAGTAGTTGTGCTTGTACCTTCAAAAACTAATTTACGTTGTCTACAATGAAAATTGAACTTGAAACATCTTAAAAATGTTTCTTGTTTCTGTAGCAGTGGTGTTYCCATACAGAGAAATTAGCTAATTTTTTTCAGCCATTCAGAGATTGCAGTAGTGGTCTGAGATTATGTGAGTCTGAGAGTTCCTTTTTGAGAACAATCACTCTCTATTAGAAATGTGMAAATAAGCATTTAGCTATAGATGTGATATTTTCTTTGTGAGGTTTAACAAATCAGTGTGTTCTAGAATATGAGCTCTTCAGCAGGCACAAGTAGAAGTATTTTTTGAACTGTGTAAGTTTATGCCATTTGAAAACTGTAGCTCATTGGATCTTGAGGAAAAAACAGAATGAGTTTTGAAATGAAAAACACAATTTTGTTTTGACTGTGTTAGTGAGAGCTCTTAAAGAGCAGCTTGTGAAGCATGAAAAATATATACTTCATTTTGAAGTTTTACCTCCACAAGTGTTTGCGTTTTTTTGTCAATTTTACAGTAAACGAAAGCATTTAAGAGGTGAAAAATGTCTTCCTGCTTTTCTAATGAGTTTTTTTCAATTGTGCAATTCAGGTGAAATCAGTGAAAGATTTATTATTGGAAAGCTTTTTCTGCAGTTTGATTATTACCACAAAAATCCTGCCTTTTTCTTCTGCAAGTTTTTTTGTCCTTTCTTGGTGTCCTGGTATCCATTTCAAAGGGTCAGATTTCAGAAAGAACAATAAAGAGCCTGAGACTGGAAAGTACACACAAGTCTGGCAAACTCATCTGCATGAGCAAGATCGTTTGTTCTCAAGCAGACATCCAAAGTAAATGATTGAAAGAGCTGCTAGCTGTGAAGGATGTGTCTTGAAGGGGAAAGGAGTGGAAACAAACCCCAGGTTGTTAGGAAGAAAAATAAAGGCTGTACTTTTTGAACCTCTCCCTGCTGGGTCACATGCTGACCTTGGGAGATTTTAAACAGTGTAATGGGCTGTTTCCTTTTGGCTTYCCTTGGTTGATGCTGTAGCATGGGAGAGTCTATTGAGGACAGCTCTGTTCACACTTGAAGAACATTTGTTCATAAAAGATTGCTTAATACGATCTACAGGTGAGATYCACCAACTTCATTGGAGTTTGTTAAGATTTGTAAAAAGCATATAAAGTACTAGCAAAATGCATGCTCTTATGTGTGGAAAATCCAAAGAAATGTAAGTTTCTTTTTGGTTAGCAAGTTTGTATACTAGAAGTTTTTAGTGAGTTCTATCTCACACCTACAAGCCCACTAAAACTCACACCTTGCCTGGTTATACCTTAAACATCTGYTTGAAGTGTGAGTACTAAGATTTCTGATTCTAAATGCATTTAATGTGATTCCTTCTACCATATGGAGATTTTTGGTGTCTATTCCAAGTGTTCAGCTTTTTTTTCTGCTTAGTTGCATTGCACTTTGTTTCCACTTGCTCTGTTCTTTAGCCACTCCATGAACAGTCTGGTAATCAGGCTTTAGAAAGATCTTTGCAGAATAGGTAACAATATTAGATTTTTTCCAGATGTCAGTAAGCCTTATGGTTATAGTTATCATAATATGCTGCAGTGCAAAGAGATTAATATAAAATTGAATACCATACTTAATACACTCTGGAATTACAATCACTTCCACTAATCAGTGGGTCAAGCACTGCAAATATAGTAATTTGTGCAAAGAAATCGAAATAGTGTATATGAGAGATAAAATACTTAATCATCTGTGTGAGTGTATATATGTATAGAGAGATGCACAGAGTTACTTGGCCAGGTATTTTATATACACACCCTATGTATCCACACACATTAAAAGAAGGTGAGTGTGGTACTGTACAGTCTGAACCAGAGCWACTCTTGTAAATTAGTCTGTCATCTGGATAAGTAGACTCCCCTGTGTATGCATGCCSAGCATATGATTTGCCAGAATTCGACTCATTAGCATTCATCTCACAGTTATGAGTCGTACTGCTGAGTTTAAATTTCCATTAGCGATGATTTTGAGCAGTGGGTTAAGGCCTGATTACTATACAGTTGGTAAAACTTTTTTTGATATTTTTTATTGATACTGCTCCTTCAATGGAGCTCATAAGTTCAGACTTGCCTGGTTAGTGAGTGGTCACATCTGAGTCATCTCTCGCTGGTGTGCGGTATCTTTAGCCCATTCTTAAATATACAATAAAAAAGCCAAGCTTGGTTTGTGTGGTGATGTCAATTGCATTGCTTTTTAACCGCTTCCTGTTAACCAGCTGCTGCTTGACATTTCAGTGAACTGTGCAGAAAGATTGGGGATCGCTCTTGAGGCAAAAGATAATGTGCTACTGCAGTAGCAGACAACAACTTGCAGAAAGAAAAAACAAATTTTGCTCAGTTTTAGAATTACTCTTGTATCATTTTAAATTAGAGTTATGCTTTTAAGTCTTACAAAGCTGGTGTAATACCTCTTCTAATGTTGTAGTGTGAGGAAAACTTAACTGATTGTCCGGCAAACAAGTCTTGTAATTATTTTTCGTACAGGAAGTAGTTCTTGCAAGCAGTTTATCAACAACTTCCTATTTTTTTTCTGTGAAGTGTTGAATGACTTCCTGAAGGGAGGCCAAGGTGGTTTTCATTAGTGTTTGTGGGTGTGTTTGAGGTGTTTATCCRTCTGGTAGAAAAAAAGATTGCTGTTACACATTTCTCATGTGTTCCATACAGAGGTATGGCTTCGCATGTTATGAAACCAAATAGTTYTGAGACAACAGGGAAGTTTGTTGCTATGCTTTTTGTTTTTTGGGTTTTTTTWAATTTCCTCATGTCACCGATGAAAAATATCCAGTGATGMTGTTAAATTTCTCTTGCATCCCATTTTTGCCCCTGACTGGAACTACCCACTACACCAATATCCTCTCCTCCCCACCCCATCAAAGTAATCTTAGTCTTCAAGGGCAGAAGATGTTCATTGGAAAAACTGCAGCCACAGCTGCATATTTTATTSGTACTTTAATTTACTGTGGAGGTACGTATTTGGAATCATCAATATGACTTCTTGTGTTTATAATTCTATAGTTCAGGCAAGTTGGTCAGTAAAAAAGCAGTATTGCTGGAAAACAAAACTGCTGCCACTGGTTTTGATTGGTTTCTCCACTTGTTGAAGATCTTTGGTTGCTAAGTTTTATTTGTAGTMTGTCAGGTTATTTGCATTTTTATATTGATGATTTGACTGTTACAGAAAATACTCAAAAAGATCAAAGATYTACCTAGAAAAAGCCATGAAAAAAATGGCACTGTGGACACTGTGTGTTTTGGAACATAGCTAAAGGAAAAATATTGGTTAAAACACTTCCAAAGGAAAGCTTGCTCTGGTATGTTTTTGACAATTTAAACTAAGGCAGTCATATGCTACTGAGTATATATTTTTCCTTCTGCCTCTTAGTTGGAAGAGTCTTATGAAAGAAGAATAACACAAGCTATTTTGAATTCTCAATTCTGCTGAAGATTTTGGTATCTTTGAAAGGGCCAAGGAAGAATAAGGGCAAATCTGCGTCATTTGTGTTAGTGCTGGAACTGGGCATTAGTGAAAACAATGGCACACATTTTCTTGTGTTTGGTCAATGATATCCATGCATTAAATACTCTGCTATACCAAATGATTTTGTAAGGCTATTTCAAAAAGCAGTTTAGTACATATGATTTCAGGTGAACCAAAAACGTATCCTGTGGTTTTCACTGATGTATTTTCTTTTTGTTTATAAGCATATTGACATTTATTACCCTCAGAAGAAAATAAAACTGGGGAAAATAAAGCATCTGTGATACCTAGTTGAAAGTTGATAATTAAATTATCTCTGAGGATTTTTTAAAATTAGTTGTTGATCCATACCTTTCTTCTTCCCATGGGTTTTGTCTTTTACAAATCTTTCATAAAACCTTGGTGATTTATAGTGTCTTGTTTTGGGTGTATATGCTTTTAATATGTCATACTGCTTTATGGCACTGCTTTCCTATCTTCTGAATTAAATTTGAGATCACTTTTATCTTACTGATGATCTGAAAACTTTATTATGTTGAAAGCTGTAACTGTGACCAAATCTTAACCAGTCTTTTAKAAGTAAAAATAGTAAAGTATGTCAGAAGAGTCTTCTGATACAGGTTTAATCTGAATTTTGTGTTTAAATAAAGATTCTTCTGCAATTATGCTTATTAAAGATTTCATCTGGTTATATTTGATTCAGAGTAGTAGCATTAAGCTCTAGGGGTGCAATTAC